ATTCACATTACACGAAAATTTGACCACTGCAACTCAAACAGATTAAATTTAATTAAAATATGCAAAGAGAATTCAATAGCATCTTGTTATATAGAATAAATATTGGAAAATATAATATAAATTAATGGTTCATTATTTCTGATTATGAGAACCACAGTACATGAATTTCAGTAGTGTAAAACACAGGTAGAAAATCTTTTAAATAGGAAGAAGAACCCATCATTAACAAACAAAAAATTAATTCACTATGTAAAATGAATAGTGTTGGCGATGAGGCTGTTATTGTCAAAATAAGGTGAAGGTTTCACAACCAGATTTCAGGCTCTCCCTGTTTATGTTCAAGGCCAGTAAAAAGGCAGAGGGAAGGGCATTCTTGGGAAGTGTTGTGTAACTTTGAAATTTATAAAAGGCCAGAGGGGAGGAAATAGAAACATAGACTGAAGTAAAAGTAAAATATCATGTTATTAGGGTTTTCCAAAAGTCCCTATCTATCATCAGAATGTCCTGGAATAGCTGAAAACTTATTTCCTCAGCTTTCCATCACTGCCTGTCTTTGAACAGGTAACTGAATACAAAATAACACACAAATCAGAGAAGGACCATACAGTGCAATATCATTTATTTCTCCACTTTTTTTTCCCTTTCCCTATCTTTGGAAAGAGACAACAGACCTTTCAAGTCTGACATAAGTCAAATGAGTCCTCTCCCTGACTCCTCTCCCTGCAGCTTGCAGATCTCCTTAAGCCTTTATGCAGGACCACCATCTTTCCAGCCTCCCTGACAGTGGCAGAGTATGGACCAGAAGCTGTTGGGCCGCAGCACACAAGTTTAGGCTCACAGATGATCCACCTGGAGCACAGGACAGCAGTATTTGTAAGCAGGCAATTTATTCACTACTTTCAGTCCCACAGCAGTGTCAGAGAGCAGGATTCCTCCTGACATACTGTGCCAAATCACTCCAGTGTCTTCCCAGATTTGCAACAAGTGCCCCAATGGAAACACCTGCCCTCTCCTATGTTACCAGAGCAGTGATGATTCACCACTGCCTCCCTTTCCTCCAGGAGAGATAATTCAGGCCATAGTTGACTCCAGCAGCATCGCATGCAGCACAACTACCTTACACCAGAGGACCAGAATCTGGCTTTTTATCTCTTCAAATACAGGGGAATAATGTTTGCATTCTGTGAGCTTTAGCCTCTGCATCTGTTGCTAATTGTCCTAGCACATCTGCTGCTAATTCTTTTCTGTTCTTGGACCAGCAGGGAGTAGTAATGTATGGTACAGCCAGCTCCAGCCTCCCCGAGTGCTTCTGGTGATATACCACTGGCCTAAGTGGATTCTGACCTCATCCTGCAAGGGAGAAACCATCTTTGTAAGAGGAAAGCAGGAAAAAAGTTCTCTCTCCTGCCACTTCCATCTCACTTATTTATTCCTGAGATTGATTTCAGCACGATCAGAGCACGAATTTCCTGGGATAACGTGGGCCACAGACACAAAACAGCAGAGTTTATTTATTTTGTGTCAAGAGGACATGTGCTTTGCCCAGAAACCACTCAGAGCCAAGGAGTCTCATGAAAATGTGGCTTGTTCGGCATGCAGGGTTGAATCATGCAGCAGTGTCACTTTGCCTGGCCCAGGCTCCAGAGCTGGAACAGGCAGATTCCCTCTCCTTTTTGCTCCACCAGCTGCTCCATCTCATGTCGCTTTCTTGATGCTGTTCTGGATTCCCCATCACAACCTCTTCATCCATTAAGTTTTGGTCCAGCCAGGAATGCAGCAACATTCACTTCACCAGGGAAGGAGTGCCAATGTAGAGTTCATACTCCTTCAGCATTTCCTAGATGATCCAAACCTGGTCAGGCTCTGCTCTCTTTCCAGGGGCTCAGTTACCACTCACCAGCAAAGAAACAGAAAGACCAACTCCTGAGAACAGATCCCTTTTTCCTTGTGTGGTCTGCTCAAAAATTGCATATTTAAACAGGATCACTTTTTGTTCTTTGGTGGCATAATGTACTCTTCCCATTTCTGCGGTACAGCCCTGCAGCTACCCTGATGATCCTAAGTTCACAGATAATAATTTAAAATGTGAAATGCTTTAAAACCAGATATATTAAGGCAAAAAAATTACAGCATCTTCTGAGGGTATTTTGCTGACTCCTATGACTTGCAGATATGGACTAAAGCAGAGTGTAGGTCCCTTTCCACAGCTCGAGACTGTCATCTCTGGTGAGTCATGGAGCTGTTCCTTTTTTTCAAACTCTGAATTTTTTGTTTGAGCAAGCATTTATTTTGTACTTAGTGTTCTCTGTTGTCTGGAGTTCACTTGGAGTTAAGAATACAGGCAGAGTCTGCATTCTGCCTTCCTGCCAATTTGCCCCAGATAATATATGGCTTTTGTACAGCTATTGTGTCCTACAGCTCACGTCAAGCTCTCTTACAGATATAATTTTCAATTAGTTAGGGAATAAGCCATGGAGTGGTCCAAAATAAAAGTCTGGCCCCAGACACTCCTGATTTTTAACATATGTCTGCTAGATTTTCCAAAGCAGACAACATACCTTACTCTAGTCAGATATGATGCATTATAATGTGGGTCACATTTCTGAGGTCTTTGGGCAATATGTATTGGTATAAGCTGACAGAGCATTCACAGTACATTCCAGCAGGAGATTCCAAGAAGTCCTTCACTGGAGGACAATGATTAGACAACACATGAAAAGTAACTCCAATTTGCCAAAAACAAAACCTAGGATAAGTAGTGACCTTTTGAATATGTAAATCAATTGCACAATGCTAAATAAGGTAGATACAATAGATTCTAATATGTAATAGCTTTGTAATGTAAGCACACCAGACTTAATGAATCTCTCAAAGTCTTCACACGTTGGTGGAAATGGAGCCATCCACATTTGGGAAGTCCATCTATGGGCAGCAAAGGTCTCCAGAGATACTACATTGCTGCAGCTCTAGGATGGAACAGGATGTGAGCACAGCATGGCACTGGGCCGAAGCAGGTCCCTGTGATGCTTTCTGCTGGGTGCACAGCAAGACGACAGACTCATGGCCACTTGGGGAGCAGAGCACTGTGGAAGGACTAGCAGCCAGTCCGAGCAGCATGGGGCCCATGGCCCCACAGTATAAGCAGTGATCAGTCCCAGGGCTGCTGGTGTCCTACCACAGAGATCTATCCCTCAGGATGGCACAGTGCCACAGGGTTGTGACGCAGATGGAACAGAATTGCTCTGAGAACATGTATTTTGAGGAGCTGTTGCAAAGAGACATTTAGCAAATGGTGATTGAAGACCAGACCTCAAACAAACTCAGATAAACAAAATAGAAGTAGTTATAAGTACATGTTCCTGTGAAATAAAAACATCAAGCCTACAGTCTTCAAATAAATACAAGCACCTGTATAGGCTTAGTTCTTGAATTTAGCAAAAGGTTCATGTAGTGCCTTATCATCCCAACTACAAATACTTGCATTCAGGGAAAACATAAGTGGCTCTCATTTTGAAAGTCATCTGGCACTGCCAAGCATTATCAAACTCTTATACTATGTCCTAAAAATGTGTCCAAGAGCTAGATATTCTTCATTTATGCCAGCATTTCACTAAAGAATAAAATAAATGGTGGAGGGGGGGCACACAAGGAGGGGAAAGTTTGTGGTCTACTTTTGCTAATGATACCTAGTTTTGTAATTATTAAAAGCATCACAGACCTTAGACAGCTGCTGACATACAGAAAATAATGTCCTTGAAACTGTTTGTTTCATCATATTTTAAGAATTAATACCTTAGGTGATGTTAATCAGTTTCTGATATATGTAGTTTTCAAAATGCACTTCAGGGAAGAAAAAGCTGGAAATGACTAATAAAGACATGAACTTTATTCATTGTATGTCTAACTCCAAAAGTGAACATTACCAAAGTACTTTGCCATCTGAAGTATTTAGGAAGCCTTAAATAAAAAATAAATCCACTTCATTCAGTGAAATAGAACATCCTCTTTTTCCAAGCAAAAGAGTTCAAATTTATTAATTTTGTAGCCATATTTTAAAATGAGTGTCAGCCCCTGCTAGATGACTACATGATAAGTGTCCTGAAACTTCAGGAAAAGGCACTAAATTTTTCACAGCATTTGTGTTTCATTTTCAGTGTAATAAAAATATGGTGCCCTTTTAATAATGAATAATAGATTTCCTGGTATGATTTACATGAGTGGATTAAATGTCATGTTTGAAAAGTTGCTGTTTTATTCATATTGAATTTCCCTCAAGTAAAACAAAATGGTACCCAGCTACTGTTATAATATTGCTAGTACCTCGCCACACTGATACATAAATATTAACCAGCTGATATACTCTTTAAAAATCTTCAGTTCTGTGAACTGTTCTGTCAGCAATGATGTCTTTTCATGCATATGAACAGATTTAGTACCATCCCAAGTTCCAGGTACGCTGGGGAAAATGTGTAGCACCAGTGCTCACACACTTCTGGAGCTCAGCAGTGCTAGACTGACTTCCGAGGTGTCTGGACAGCATAATGAATACTTTTTAAATGTCACTTGCAGGTAACCTCATTGACTTGTGGTGCTCTTCGCAACAGTTGAAAATTTCCTATCTGAACTCCCCATTCTGAACACTTTCTAACAGGCAATATTTTGTCTTGAAAAGTGCTTCGGAAATGTTTATAATTTGTTGCAAAGAAAGAGGAAATAAGAACATCTTCCTAAAGGTTCCTCCTCTGTAGGCAAAGTTGGCAATGTACCACAAAATATTTTGGTCCCGATAACTGAAATTATAGCTGAAAACATTTTTTTTTAAAGAAGAGAAGCTTTTTTGCCACATTCCAACTTTTGTTCCACTGAAACCAATGAATATTTTGATTCTGAAAAGTGAGGTTTTGTTCTTATTGTTGTAACTGTTCCATAGAACAATTTTAATGTCTACTGAACTAACCTAAAAAAAGATGGCAAAATAAAACACCTTTTTCTGTGTAAACTTATAGTTTTGCATACTGGAATTCATTTGTGCTCTTCAAGTCATCATTAAGCTGAAAAATGTAATCTGGACTTGCTAACACTTGAACATAATCCTATGGAGTAAAACAGTGCTTTAAATACACTGTGAAAAAAAAATGTTTACTGACTACTTAGGTCTTATCTATAATAGGATCTTACCCACCATGAAACAGCAATAAGGAAGTTATACTAGTAAAATCCTTTTTCTAGGTAAAGATGATGCAGTCACACAGACTTTACCTATCAAAGCCTAAAGTCCACTTGCATAACCTAAATATATGAAAATATCCTATAAATGATGTCTAAAACAAGTCCCATTCAGATTATGCCATTTGTTGCTATTTCTAAAATGGTAAACAGTCATTTGAAACAGCAATTGCGTTTTATCACAATCCAAAGCATTCATACAGGTTTCATTCAGCATAATTTAAATTTAAAAAATTACTTGTTTGACTGTCTGGCCTTACTGAAAGACAAATAAAATTCAACTGCAGCTATTAGGAGCCACTGTCTAGTAAGTAGTCAGAGGTTATTGGGGAAGTAGGTTGACAAACTAAAAGGGAGGACAATGAAGGAGCGGAAAGAAGGGAAACTGGCAAGCTGGAGCAAAGAACATTGATTAATGAACAGAAAACATTTTTGAAAGGTCGGGTGTGCAAGTCAGACTAGCCCTGAGGCAGATCTAACTTACATGACCAGCACTTTCTGTACGCAGCAGGTAACCCACGCTGACACCAACTTTGCCGACATGACAGGGTTATTATTTTTGGAAGGATGTAGTGTTCTGGAACAATTTCTCTAATATATTACTTAAAATTAAGCTTTCCTTCAATATCAAGCATGCATATCTTCATTTTCACCATGTTTACACTGAACTCCTATCATTATTCTGGCCAATGAAAACAGAAGCATATTCTGCATTTGTGAACACTTCTATTTCCCACCCCATAATATATCCCAGGGCAGTAGTGTTGTATATTATTAGATTGTGTTCAAACCCAGATGCTCATGTGAAGCTCACCATTAAGACGTCACTACTTACCCCAAGTTTTCTGGTAGATGTTAACCATCTGAAGCCTAAAATTTGCCTCATCTCAGCACAGACCCCAAGGGTTTCTTCTGAAACATATCTTAAGGTTGTGCACCAATAACAAGGTGGAAGAACAGAAAGGTAGAGTCATCCAGGGTACAATACATCCTATGTCTTCAAAATGAGCTGGTGGAGAAGGTTCTCTAAAGTTATGACATTAAGCTTTTGCTGTCCATTATAGAGTACTGAAGACAGGGAATTATCAGAAGGTCATTTAATCCAACTTCTCCTGGTCCTGTATTTTAAGTGAACTTGCCTGAGACCTACACGCTGGTTCACTAGACTAAAAATGAAGTTTGAAGATGCTAATCAAATGTCCCCTGTGAGACCCAAGAGAACTTTAAAGCAAACTTGCAAATGCAAAAAGTAGCAAAGACCTAGGAGAAAGATGATGCTGAAAGTAAGCAGATCATGCTGGAGTCATTCAGTCATACTATCCAGTCTTCTCCTTTCAAGACAATGCTTAATCTCCAAGGAAAGTAACCAGGATGCACACATCCTCCCTAGGAAGAAATCACAGCTCAGTGATTTCTCTGACAGATGCATGTATTTGTTTTAACATCATGTGAAAGTCATATCCACAGTTTCCCCCCCATATATGTAATTCCTTTCACACCAATAGCTGTATTACAGACACTGTTCATTATCTATTACAAGTGATAAACAATTAAAAAGCAGAAAATGTGACTTAGTAACACTTTATAAGTCACAAACCCAACATCTGAAATTACCTATCCACACGTAACTGAAAGCATCAGTGGCATACATAAAGGTTTGCTATCCCAAAGCTCTTTGGGATAAGGACTGCCTGTCTGTTCTGTATCCATGCAACACTTTGGACAACAGAAGGTGTGGAGGAGGAAAACTACCATTCAGGTCATACCACAAAATAAATGATTGAAAGCAGAAAAAACTAGTCATTCTACCAATGCCTCATAACACACACAAAAAAACCCCCACTGCACTGAGAGAGATGAAGATTGTTTTTCAAACCGTAAAGAAGCTTTCACGTGCCAGAGGGTTTATCTGAGACCAATGTTTCAACCAGCACTAGGCATTAGCTACAACAGTGAGCAACTGACACACAACAATCCTGCCATGCACAGCATGCTTAGGCAGGAAAATATGTGTGCCTCAGTCACAAAAGACAGAATAGAGCCTCAAGTGTTTGGGCTCCTTCCAAAATAATCCAAATGCTGCTTTTTTGGCAAATGGGGGTCAATGGAGCTAAAAACTCACAAAAGGATTTGGGCATTCATGTGTTTATATACACCCACTCGTTCATTTATTATTCTAAAGCTACTTTACAGAAATCAAATTACATAGCTGACAAGCTGCATAGATAAGAGAGAATAAAAGTAAAACTTAAAATTAGCTGACAACACTATATGATGTAGCGTATATTTGGCACTTTTAGAGTGAGTGATGAGGGTTAACCTAGGGGAAAAAAATTGCACCTTTCTAAATTGCACCTTAAAATACTAAATAAATTATTAACATGATGGAATGCATTAAATATATAAGCCTAAAGGAGAAAGAGCGGATGTGTTTTAACTTTCAAAGCAAAGACAGCATATTTATGAAGTGTTGCTTACTGTCTGGATACTTTGTCCAAAGTAGATTTCAGTGTTGTAGAAGTTTCCACCATGAGTAACAGGCTGCGTTGTCCTGGCCTGAGGCTGCTCCTTCAGTTCAGGTCTCTCCAGCAAGCCACCACCTAAGCGGCTCAGAACACAAACTTTGAGAGTGTAGTGGCCTTTGGGGACCTTATCTTTGACTCCCCTCAGGCATTTGAAGTGAATTTCTATTGACTGAGGCTTCTTGGAGTAGTCAACCTAGGGAGAAGGCTCCGAGTTACCAACATGGGCTGAGCTGACTTTAATCATACAATTAGCAAGAACAAATTTCTTCCAGAAAACAAACACTGAAAAACAGACAACACATTTCTTGTTCAACCTGCAATTACTTATTGCTAGCCAAGTATCTGCAATTAGGGAGGTCAAAAGTCATAGAGATCACAGATAAAAAAAGCAGTACAAATACTACTCATAAAATGTTGAGCATCCTTGGAGGGAAGGTAGAGCTAGTGAAGTATGACACCAGAAGATATTAGACGGTAATAATAAGGCAGAATTAACTGGAAGACAATACCTTCAAAAATATAGCATGCTTTGTGAGACAGGCACAATATTTGATGCGACGAGCAGGCCACAGGCTCAAAGTGAAAGACAGGGCAGGCCATGTTTTTACACTAATTATTAGCCTTGTCAAAGCTATTAGTGCTGTGTAAGATGCAGACTATCCTTTTACCTTCTGATTATCATATAATCAGATTCTCTTAAAAATAGTAATCAAAGTGCAACACATGCAGAGTTTAATAACAACTCCCTAAAGGCACCTTTACTCCAAGTCCAGACAGAAGGAAACGTCTGCTGGTTGCTGTTGACAAGATGTTGTCTGAGTTACAGAATGTTTAGCATGAAATAAATGCTGTGTACCAGAAATGCTTTTCTAGTGCTTTCCTTGTGTACTCAGCCTCTCAGTGTGGGGGTTGGCTGTGGGGAACAGACACGACTGTACAATCCTTACACAACCTTGCCTGAGTAATGATGTAAGGTTTGTCCCACTACACCAGAAGATACTTCAGTGCTGCCCAAATGCAGGGGTCAGGCACACAACAGGGAGTCCCAGTCAGGCTCCAGTGTTGACTAGATTGGATAAAATTGTTTCTACAGTAACTAATTATTTAGTGCTTAAAATCAGCAATGCTATTCCTCTTTTCCCCAAAAAATCAATTTCTTCTATTATTGGGAGAAAAGACTAGTGATAGATGTCCTTTTTTTTCGATTGGTTATAAGAACCCACACTTCAGAATCACATGGCTACCTTGACTACTAGGTTTAGTGGTCTCACAGTTTAAGCCTACAGTAGCTAATAATCTCTTCTTTAATCCTGTCTTGGATTTATTTTGGAAGAGATATCATATTTCCATATAGATAGAAAGCTTCTGGAATTAAATTAAGCAGTTAAATAAACAGCTGAATTTGTTAAACTTCTTTTGTTTCTCAACACAAACCATACTTAACAATTAATCTGAATGACAATAATTTTCAGCTTAATTAGAAAATCTTAATTAACAATGAAGATTTAACCTTAATATTTTTGGTTTCTGAATCATATATAAAAAAATTAACATTATGTGAATAAATAAGACAATCTTTTTAAACCTCAAGGCAGGATTACTGATGCAGGCAGCCTTCGTTATTAAACACATTCTAAATTAAACGCCTCTATGAATTTTATACTGAAATATATTGTGATAGTTTTGCATGCCAAATGTGACATTTTGTATTTTAGATTCATCTTCTGTAGTAATTTTGGAAATGTCATACAAACAAAGATTTTGTCATTTACCAATGGAATTACTATGCATGGCCGGTTAGCCATCTCTTTTCTGGCTCTTCTGGTTGTTTCAAGTCAGCAAGCCATAAAAAATCTTTATCTCTCTGAAACACAGCAATTTGGAAGATAATCGAATAGTGACTGGGGGGCAGAAACGCCAGTCTGAGGAATTATACCACAATCTCTCTTGCATTTACAACCTTCCTCAAAGCGAGTGTCAGTCGAATAGGAAAAGGAGATAGAAGATTCATCATATTTCAAGCCTGTCTCATTTGCATGGTGGCATAGCTGTCTCATCTCCTGCTGAAAGACTTTGCTTGGCCAGCACTGACAAACTGTTTTGAAGAACTCTTGCCATGCCCAAATGATTCATCATTAATAGCTTTAGACCTTCTCTTTAAGCATATGGTTGCTTTTGCTGGAAAGCATATTTTGAAACCTGCTAAATTCTATCCTCTTAAACTATGAAAAGAGAAATAAAAAAAAAAAAAAAAAAAAAGGAAAGAAAAAGAGCAGTACAATTGATCCAGTCATTTAGCAGTTCACATTAGGGAAAAGAGCACTCATGGAGAACCTCACCTTCTCGCAAGGCCCTGCTGCTGCTCCATTTAATCCAGTATTCACACTTGCAAGGTTACCAAAGCTGGCTATCATTTCTTCTTCCCTTCCATTCTCTTCTGTTTTCAGTGGCTGACTTCCCAATCTGCAGAAGTTGGATGAGAAGAAGAACAGAAAAGAAATTAACTACAATGCATACACAGAAAGCACTTGCTGTTGGAAATACATAAGTTTGATATTTTCCTTGAACATATCCTAAGACTTGCAGTGCACTCAGAAGAAACAACAGTTTGCTAAAGCAGAGAAATGGCTAGGCTTCAAAAAGCAGCATAAAAAATTAACAAGACAAATATTTGTCAGTCTGTGCCACAGGTTGACATAAGGAACCTGAAGTTTCAATGCCTGTCTATAATCAGCTCTGTCTGGCATTGGGGCTCAGGATCTAGGTTGAGAATATTAAAGTAGGAAGCCATTGCCTCTACTGACACTTTGAGGACTGATTGACAGCTTCAATAAACTTGGACAGGTTTTTGGAAACCATTGAGTCCTTGGGGACTTGATTGCTTTAAACCACAGAAAAAAAATAATTATATATATAAAATCTTACTTTTTTTGTTTGTTTTTCCCATCCAAAAAAATCTTATAAATTTATATCTAAATCTTGTGTCATTTAGAAATCTTCAAAAATATCTTATTTCATAGATAGAAAAATTAAATACATAAATTATATGTCATGTATATACACTTACATGCACATACACAAATTTTCAGTTGTATGCTAACCACTAAACCTTCCTTGTCATTCATATGTTAACTTCTTGTGTATTTAAAGTGATTTGGAGGGTAATTATATCAACTCAAAGTTGTTGGGTTTTTTTGTTGTTTTTTTTTAAGAGAGGTCAATGTAGCAACACAGAATGCCAGCAAATACAGCAAGAATAGCCCTACACTTCTAATGCTGCCCTGCTTAGTGCACAGGATACACAAAAGGCACAGTACCCTATGGAGAAAATCTTGTTCCCAGAACACAGCAGGAGCAAATGTAAAACTAAGACATTTACAAAAAGCACTATAAAACTGTATGGTTTGGCAATCCCATCCATCAACAGACACAGAACCATGAGTAATTCCTCTGTCCCTACATGGCATCAGTATCTTAATATTATTGACCCTAAGTAAAAACATCTGTAGATGTTCTGCTGGCTTCAAAACACATCAGCTCTTGCTTCTACAATATGCTTTAAGAGGCCAGGGAGGGTCAGCTGGTCACGCCAGTGCTGGCGATGCTCCAGCCACACTTGCAGGTGGAGAAGGGGCAGGCACAGAGAAGGACATGGTGGCTCTCAGAACCTGGAGGCTGAGCAGGCTGTTCATGGCTGAGGGTCAGCCACGTGTCATGCTGGAGGTCAAGGGAGCTGCCTGCAGCATACTGAGAGGGGTCATATGGAGCCAGGGAGAAATCACTACATCAGGTAAGGTTGCAATGCAGGATCAGCTTGGGTATATACAAAAATAGGCTCTCTTAGGTTGCCAAGCAATGTACTGAGTTAAGTTTTTAGCCACAAAAGAAAATGCTATAACTTGGTGTTCATCAAAAAAATGTGCTAGTTAGGTAACACATTCTCCTCTTCTGAAACAGATGCTCCTATCTCCAAGATCCTGGCACATTGCTACAAATCAGTTTCTATTCTACTCAGACCTTGCCTATTTCTTTTGCCTTTTTTTTGGTTTTTTGAAAATGTACACATTTACATCAGTAAAATTACCACTGGTTCACAGCAAAACTGCTTTCCAGATTTCTCTACCAGTAGAATTTTATCACATAGATGCCCAAGTAGCAACTGAATCGGTCAGAAGGCCAGTGTAGATGCCAGTGACAATGAAGTATATGGAAATTTTGCCCGAGCCAGGACTGATGAGAAATAAGGACAAGATTCCAGTGCTAAGGACTGAATACAAGAAGCACAGGGTCAACCACCTTTGAACTTTTGTTCTTGAGCTTCCATAAGTCAATTTGGCTCTAGCTGTCCTAAAGGGAAGTAACAGAAGGTGAATGAATGGCACTAGCTAATTCATAGACCTGAAACATCTGAGATGTTAAAGCATTCTTCTCGAGGAGAGAAGTTGTTTGGAACTTTGTACTTACTTAGTTTCGCATGATGGAAATAATTTCACTTAATTTGGTTAGAGTTGCATTGACACAGGGGTTCATTAGGACACCCATTTGCTTGCAATTCAATTTAAAATTAAATACACTTTGTTGTTGATTTTATTACTTTTAAACTACTGTATCTATTGCCTTTATTAGCTGCTAATATACAATTATGAAGGTAAACAGTTTTCATTACTGAACATCAAACATTTAAATAACCGCATTTGATCTCTTTTAAAGTTGCACCATTTTTCTCCTTTCTTTCCTTTTGCTGGGTATTAGATTGAAGAAAATAATTTATTCAGCGAAGTTAGACCCCTTTTGTGCTCACTAGCCTGCTCATCAGCTGTCACAGCAGAACATAGCTTCCTTTGCTCTATTCATGAGGGTTATTTATTTCCTCCATTCATTTCTTTACAGGTAATTTGATGCATGTATTTATCTGAAGGTCATATATAGCTTGATCACAAAAACTTTGCTCCAGTTCCTATTTCCTTCACTCTCTGAAGGGTAATTCAGTGGCAAAGATCAAAAATGCTGGGAGAAGACATTTGGTCACCTTTTGAAGTGCACTGTATGTAGCACTTAAAAATTCAGCCCAAGCTGAGTATCCAAAAATGGAGGTAACCCAAAACAGAGACCTCTTTCAAATGCACAGGCTTAATTTTTCTAGGCCTGAGGTCTTTCATCTGGGAGAAGTTCTAGTCATTAATATCTGTGAAGCACTGAAAGATCTTTAGAAGGAAAGCACATTAGATGGAAGTACAAAGTGGCTCTTATCTGACGTACCTTTGAAGCAGTTCCTGAATCCTGGCTCTCCACTTTTGTTTCTTGCGGTGAGAAACTTCCTTGTGGTGCTTTGAGTCCCACATGTCAAGAAGAAAAATTAAAAAAAAAAAAAAAACAAAAAAACAACAGGAAAAAGAAAAAACAAAAACAAAAACAAAACAAAAAAAAACCAGAGTTTGTTTCCAAATGTACAGAAAAAACATGGAAATAAAAGCCATAAATGTGAAATTTTCCAAAGCTTTGCCTCAGGTCTTCTGGTTGAAGGTTTACAGAAGCAATGAGGAATTCTAGCCACTGTAACTTTATTTCATTATTTTTTTCATAACTTTTTTTCCATATTTACTGCATTATTTCCAAGAGATACTGAGCTCTCACCTTATTTTAAAAACTTTTCTCATACAATGTATATTTGTACATGGTAGTGTTCTACAGTCCTTATTTTTACGACACCTAACCACATAGTCATACATAAGCATACATAACGTTTATGCATGTGCAAGTGTGTCTGTACAGACGCACCAAAATACAACACACAAAGCAGGTTTAGGCATAGACCATAGAGCCCTCAACTTGCCTTGTTTTAAATTCACTCAAAATCTTGATGCCTTGTCTCACCAGGTTTGTTTTGAAATTCTCGGTAAGAGGGACTGACATTTTTGGAGGTTGCAATCTGTAGGAGGCTAACTCATGTATGCAGTCCACTGCCTCAACAGTTCTGAGCTCTCTAGCATGAAGCTGAAGGGCCTGAAGTTATTTTACCCTTGCACATCAAGCTCAAAAAGTCATTCTATCAAGAAGCTAGCATCCACACCTATTAAACTATGTTCTCTGTGAAAAAACTCAAAACGATAACCATACTGTGGGCTGCCCACTCATGAAAACAAAATTCTTCTCCTTGATCTGAACAGTACAGAGATCTTGCTGAATATTCAAGAACATTTCTCATGTCTGGATCTTCTGTTGGTGTCCCTGAGATTGACATAAAACATAGATACAAACTACCAATACATAAGAAGGCTTCCCATTGTATACCCTATACAGTCATTTAAACAGTGTAAAATTATGCTCCACTTCTACTCTCACTGTGCCTCAAAGGTAAAAAATCATTTTGGTAGGGAGACTGTAATAGTCAATGGAGAAGAATTCCCCATCAGAGACTCCATTTTTGACAGTTAAAGTCTCTCCTTTCTTCCAAATCCCTAAATTTTTTGACAAATTTGTGTCAGTTTTAAGGAAACTTGAGAATCTCTGCTGAAGACTAAGGCAAAGCATCCCACTTATTTCCAAAATTAAAATTGTCAGTGTAAAGACAGACAAAAACAACAAAAGCTTGTGCATGTAACTTTTAATGTAACCCTTTTAATTTAATCCTGTATAATTAAAGCAGAAACATCATGGTTGCCTTAGACAACAGTGGGATTTGTTGGTAGTCCCAGCAGAGATCCTCTGAGATGGATGCAATAAATCCTCCAGGTCAGGCATCACACATACATGATTAAAAATGTGATGCAACCAAACTAGCTCAAAGCAAGATCTTCCACCTCTCCGCATGGCAGTTGTGTCATGGACGATGTTTCCTTCACCACTGCTCCTCTGCTAGTGGGAACCAAGCCCTCCTGCTCCTGGACAACAGTTGGCTGAAATTCACTAGAAGTCTCTGGAGCAGGGAGCAGGACTCAATCTTCTCCCATCCCTGCAAATGCTGACACTGATTTTCTTTCCCCAGCCTGGTAAATGACCTCCTATGCTACTTTCTCAGGAAGGACTGGGAATTGGCTCTGCTCTGGAGCTCCGCTCCAGTAGAGTTGGTAGCTGCATGGTTAGAGCCATAAGACCCACCTTGTGACACTTCCCACAGTCCAGTGGAGGCTGCAGTCACCAGGAAACAGGTCAAGAGCAAGGACAGATTATTCCTATACTCTCTCAGGTGTAGGGAACTCATCCTGGTGGCAGCAAAGACCAAGCAGCAAAGGCCACCATTTTCATCACCCCTGCGAGATGTAGGCACCAGGCTGCCATGGCTGGGACATTTGGTCTGACACCCAGCAACAGAGCTCAAAATCTCTGAGAAGGTTTAATGACAAAAACTATTGATGGAAAGATTCCATGTGTTTCCAGAGTTTGCTGGTAGATGGAAAGGGGTTTCAAGTTTTGGGCTGAGGCAGTTAAAGCTAAATTTCAGAAAGTGGGAGGAGGCCTTGGTTCACATTTTTTCTCCCGGATGCAACTCTTGGTGATGACTGTGAAAGCAATTTTTGAAGTGGCCACTTAATTAAGAAATAAGATTAAATAGAAAATTCACTTCATGTAAAATATCAAGTAGCCATAATATTGCAACAACATTCAGGCATTACCAGTCCAGGCTTACACTGAGAGAGTAGTAGAGAAGTTTTTTTTAAAGAAAACTGGATTTTATTACCAGACTCCCACAGCTGTCCAATCCCCTTGTTTATCTTCCTAATCTTAATTAAATAATGAATATTCAAAAGAAAATATGAATCTGTATTAACTGAACTGTTTTCTGTCTCTGCCTCTGAAGTGGCAATGAGGGTATGATTTAAAACTATTTCTTCTGGATCTTAGTAAAATATTTGTCACAGTGTGTCATGATAATTTTTAAAAAGCTCTATCATCTACCTAATAAATTTTTTAAGTTTATTCAAATCTTATTGAACAGGAAAAGTGCAATGAGTCATGGTTAATATTTCTTTACCTATACCAAGAAAAAAAATTTATCAAAAATTCAGTGCTTAGGGTCCTATTCAGAAAACCTCTATGAGTCTGTAATACATCTTCTACATGATTAAAAAAACAGGAAACTTGCTTTTAAATGAATTATTCACCACCTTGAATAAATTTCCATCTTTCCTATTTGCAAAACCCCAAAGTCAGTTATGTAAATTTTAACCTACACTAATTACCTCAGGGGTGTGCAAGCTAAAGGAAAGTAGATGCAGTAGAAAAAAAAAATCCCAGACATTTCCATCACCAGGAAGCAATTTAATAGAGGAAAAAATGTGTAAGCTTTCTAAAACAGAGCAGCCCATACAATTTTATTTTTTTTAAAATGCGTAATAGTCATTGCTGCAATATCCCTTGAATCAGAGATTTACTGGAATAAACCAAGTGCTTTTTCTCAATGGTATATACCATTGCACACATGGCAGAGTGCTTGTTTCTCATCATGACACTGGCATTGTCTAGACTGTAACAACAACCCATTGTTGACAATGGGCGTTCCCAACAAGAAGGCATGAAATGTGGTTTAGCTTCAAGTCTGTATAGACATTGAGGGCCCCTCCAGAAAATAATTGGCTAAAATCTTCGAACCACTGGATATCCTTCAGAGCTCATCTGGGACGTACTGGAAAAAGCAAGGCGTTGTTTGAAGGCAGAAGGGCTTAATCACAGCACCAATTCCTATTCTCCATCCTGATACCAGCCCCTGCTTTAGCTGTGAGCCAGCTCCTTCACACATCTTTCTCAGTTTCTTCATCTGCTCTCTTGAGGTCTAATTACACAAATGGCCTATCTACTGATTTCAAAGAGCATGATCAAGACCACTACTTGAAAAAGGTCTTTCAGTCTGGGCTCAGTCTAGGCACACAGTGGTGTGTATTGTTTCTACAGAGACAAGAACCTGACTCAATCCCATTAATCAGTGCTGACTTGTTGTTTTCAGTGTGAAACTACTTCACAAATGGCAGAACTAGGTTGTAGAGTACTTTTCAATTTGGAAAAAGAAATTAAACAAAACCCCACCCAAACACATCCTTTCCTCTTAAAAGAAAGACCACAAAATTCACCAAAGCTTTGAAGCAAAATCTAATTGGTTTTCTATTGTTTAGCAAAAATGGACCATTTAGGGGAAAATATTTGCACACACACACGCACACATGCACTCCTTTCTTGTCAGTCCTAGCACTGTTATTACAACCTTCTGGTGAGGTACTTGCCCCACTGCAATTTGAAACAGCCAGTGGAGCACTGGCCCTGATGAAATCCCACTCCCTGCAAGGAGTGCTGTGGGGATCCACCTTCCCGCAAGTCCTCCTCACCAGGTCAGGGCAGGCAGGGAAAGGAAACACCACCAGTGGGATCTCCAGCAGCCTTCCACTGTCCAGAGGGATCTCACATGCAGAGGATCCTGGTGCTTCCCCTTCATTCCACTCCTTGAGATACCACACTGGTACATCACAGTGCAGGTAGTGCTGTCTTTTTAGCCGTAAAAAGATACCCAGATAAAAGCTTTTACCTAGAATTTTCATCTCTGCATCCTAGAATATTTTTCAGTGATGGAAATGCTGTCCACTCCATTTTTACAGATGGGATAAGCAAGAGCTTGCTAAGCAAAGCTTCAGCAGAACTAGAAACAAAACCCATTGTCTAGTCCCACTGGTGCCACCTAGTTCTCCTCCTTCACAGTCTGGTTGCTGCATGGAGATTCACTCCTAGCGACTTCAATATCTAATGCACTGTATACCACAAAATAAATAAAAATGAAGAACCATTTCAGATGAGCAAAAAAAAATATTGCAAGAAAAGCTAACGTTCTTTTCAGGTAAAGTGAAATTTTGAGAGACTTATCCTCTTCTTGTTAACTATAAGGAGATCACCGGGAAAGGGGGCAATGAGTGGTAAATGGAATGAGTGTCCTTCATTGAAAATAATGAGTCAATAGCTGCATAGGCCTGCTCTGAAAATTGCACTACCCATTTCCTGTTGGAATTTGTGTGACCTTGTCATGGAGATGGCCACAAACCCAAAAGTAAACTTGTGCTAAAGCCTGGACATATGGTAGTATTATTGATGTGCACTCTGCCAAAAAATGTGCCATAAACTTTCAAACATGTTCTTTAAAAAGAAAGAAAAATCAACACAGTAAACCCCCCATGACTTTTGTTCCAAATAGAAAATTAATTTACTCTTCATAAGAACAAAATTAAAAACTTAGACAATCGAGCATTTTACAACAGAACTCAAACCCACTTTTAAATTTGATACTGCAGAACACAAAATGAGATTTACTTTAGTCATGCTACAGCCTTATTATACTGAGTAATACAGA